TGCAAGCTTTATACTACAGATTGCTTTTATTTTTTACATGGGTCTCAATTTGTATTTCAATATATTTGTCTGTTTACTTTTGCAGTAACCTTAAGTTGCACCACAAAAGTTTTATTTGACATTTCACACACAATTAGACCAATACTTCCCTTCTGGCACTCACAACATTTGCAAAAACACAAAAGTGTTTAAAAAAAAATACATGCATTGTGGGAACATTTAGCACTTACATTACAGAATCTGGTTGATCTTAAAATATTTCTGTAACGACTCTTTTAGACTGTCTGCAGAGAAACTCTGTCAGACTGTGCAGAGAATGTACAACATTGACCAACTCTGCATCAGGAGTTTAGAAACTCCACATACTGTCTGCTTTTGAAAATGCACCACAAGAAAGTACACACTTGCAAATCTATAGTTTTTTTTTTTTTTAACAACTTCAGAGGTCCTTCCTTCCTGTGAGCTGAGTGAAAGCAAACTTTCATCCGAACTCTGTATGGGGATTTCACAAGTGTGTTTAATCCATAATGCTAAGATTGTTAAAGATCATCTCCACAAAGATAACATGTGAAAAGAACATATTGAATATGCCTAGATTAATGTTTGACTTGAAAATGTGTCAGGGATGCTTTGTCTAGTTAAAAAAAACAAGGCATTACTGTAGTCCAAAAAAAAAAATAAAATAAAATAAAACAAATTGCCTACTAGCTTAGCATATAGATAGATGAGGAAACTTTATTAATTCCTTTTGGATTTTAGCTGAGGGCTGCACAGTGGCGCAGTTGGTAGAGCTGTTGCCTTGCAGCAAGAAGGTTCTGGGTTTGATTCCTGGCCCCGGTCTTTCTGTCCCCACTAAGGGATGAGGGTGTAAAGAAAATGGATGAATGGATTTTTGCTGAGGAAAATAGTCAAATGTACCTAATGGTTTGTGTGTTATAATTCAACAACAAAAAAAAAAAAAAAAAAAAGGGGGAGAGGGTTTTCCCTGTAAAATTTGGGATCTAAAATGCAGGTTTTATTTTACT